AGAGCGTGTCGATGAACGTTCAGTCGATGACCTCTTGACTTTTATAAATGGTGGAAGTGGAGGTATGATCCAGAAATCTTTCCTCTTTATCCTGGTTGCAAATTGTGTGCCTTTATTCTTACATATTGAGTTTTAACTTTTTGAGACTTTTTCCTTCGGTGTATAAATTTATATGTTATGTTGGGCTCTCAAATAAAATTGGTAGTACATAGAATTCTCATCTGTGTTGTTGCTTAATGAAGTGAGTTTGCTTCCAAAGGACCACTTTTGTAGAAGGTTACTGGCATCTATGTTCTAGCTCCATGGACAAGGAGCAGAACATTTTGGGGTTTACATAGATTTTGATAGGTGCTTCTGTCAGTACATTCACATATATCGATACTTCAAGAAGTATTCAAGATTGTTTTTCCTTTCATTCTATACTATCGCTTGGAATATGAGAGTTGTATTTGATATACTTATGTTGTTACTTGTTATCTACTAACTTAACCGTAATGTGATATGCTCTACAGAGTCAAAGGGGGTTAAGACCAATAAGAATAAAAAGAAAAATCGGAGAAGAAAAGATCATCCAAAAGACTCTTCAACCAGTGTAAATGGAAGCCATAATAAGGTTGGTACTTCTCTCTCTCTCTCTCTCTCTCTCTCTCACACACACACACACACACAAAATTAAGTGTGTATAGTCTGCTTGTGACTATTTTCCTGCATATGTCAGCATTTGTTTGTGATTTCTCATTGTTGGTGCCTACATTTTTAGGACTTGGATGCTCTTTCTTCTGATTACCATGATGGTGACATTATCAATGTTGAGTCGCCATCTCCCAGTTCTTCGAAGTTGCAAGATTCTACATCAGTTACCTTTTCACCAAAGCTTGAGTTTGATGATTGTGATATTGATGATGATTTAGATCCTGCCATGAAGGAGGAGCTTGACAGGTAACAACAATGTCCAGATAGAGTTTGTCGATGATGAATCAAACTTCTATTTATTCGTAGATCATACTAAAATCTATGACTGTAGTATGGAACTTTTGGGGTTCAAATAAAATATGCATTATGCTGATTCTTGTTTCAACGTACATGGAAATTATTATGTAATATCCCATTACTTGGTTACTCAGTATAATATATAGATATTTAATGATTATTGCAAGACAATTTTTTTTGTCCTATGTCATATTTTACTTTATGTTCTATTCTTTATGTAGGGAAGTGGAGGATTTTGCACGAAGATTAAACTCAGATTGGCCGGAAAGAATGCAGGAAATTTTATCATTGGGCCAAGAGAGGAGGCTTGCACCTATAAATATAAATGGCAATGGCTCTGCGCATAGATATACAAGTATGTTGGAATTCATCCTGAGAGAGAAGGTTGAGTGCAGATTGTAGTTAGACTGACAGAGTTACTGGGTGGTATGCAGGTTTGGACAGGAGATAATGAGAGGATTATTTAATCGGAATGTCCAGCAACTCGAGTGATTGGAAGAGAAGCTACCCATGGGGGTTGCTGCTGCAGAAGCTTAAAAGAGGGAGCAGTGTTTTTGGTGTTGACGGCATGTGAGTATATTTGTTTGTTTTTCCATCACCAAATGCAATTTTCGTTCTGTGGCATCTTCTATGTTGAAGAAAGGAAAGAGACAGATGTTTAAAAAAAAGAAAGGAACTCGGAGGCTACAACAGGAGCAAAGTTTCCTCCTTGTCTCGAGAGCTTATTTTCTCTTTTTGGTTGTTTAAGAGGAACTAATTTCCTCTGTTTTGCCTTGAGCCATTGTTGCTGGCTGTCTTCTGTACTTTCTTGAAATGATGCTGAATTTACAGATGTACCTTTTTCATTTTCATTTCTTATAGGCCCCATTTGGCTTTGGAAAGTCTTACGACAAGTTGTAAGTTCTTAAGTTAATGTAATGAAATTGAAATGCAAAATAAAGGTTATTCAAAAGGTTTTGTACAATTTGGTCATTTCATGTGTTGGATAGGCCAATTATATGTATGTGACAAATATAAATGGTAGACCTATTAGGTTCCATGTGCACAACTTAAGCTTTCAACTGGCTAAAACCATAGATAATAATGATAATAATCATACAGAAGACTCCTTTTGGGCCCTTTGGAATAACTTTGCCATGGAGATTTAGTATTAATTCAGCCGAACATACACGGCTCTACGACTAAGGAAAAAGGCTACCTATGAAGATCATTTATTCATTAATAAACGAAACGAGAAAGAGAAAAAAGTATGCCCTTGAGTACATTGATTGGTCAATATTCTTTCACTTTTTGCAGAGAGTAATATTTCTTGAAAGCTCTAGGAAGATAAACAGGCAATAAGAACCCAAAAAGGTTGAAGCACCAAAAGGCCATGTTAGCAGTTGCAAGCCCTCTCCCGAGATACAATCTCTTTGCAGATCCACCATACTCTTCATACTCTTTGGAAAACTCACTTCTGAGCCACTCCACAATGGTGAAAATCCTCCTGGAATTATAGAAAACCGGCACGAAAACGCGTATTGGGGTCGAAAACCTGTCAGTGAAAGCCACTCCTTCCATGAACACTTGACTGGCAAGAAGGAAAACATGTGGGGAAGCAGCGCTGATGCCTTCTTTGTCACCCTCCACAATGCCCTCAAGTATATAAGCTATGGGGAGCAAAAGGCCTACGATGGCTCCCACGAGAACATAGAGGCGCAGAATCTTGTTTTGAGGGTTAAACACTGCGGGGTCTTTAGGAGAATTGAGGTTTGTGGGGAAAGCAACTTTGGAGATGAAGTGGATGTAGATCATGGAGAAGAGAACGAAAGCAAAGTCTGTAGGGCTTACCATGCCGCTGGCCGCGAGGACAACGATGACTGCCAGGGCGTTGAGCTGCCGGAAGGAGAACAAACCGGGTTTGCGTTGGGCCGGGGGATTTTGGCGGGGGCTGAGCTTTGAGGAAGCTGGGTCATGGTGTTCTTTGAATTCATGTTCTTGTTCTTTTGGCAGGCTTATGTCATTGCAAGTTGGACCAACCCCACCTGACATTTTTCTATGTGTTTTGTTGTTTGTTATGAGAGAGAGAGAGAGAGAGAGAGAGAGAGAGAGAGAGAGTTAGATTTGCTTGCACAGAAGCGGAGTTGAAGTAAAGCTGCAGAGAGAATGAAAAATTGTGATGAAGAAGAAAAAGTGATTAAGCTCAGAGAAGAAATTTAAGATGGGGAGAAGGGAAGATAGGGTTAGGCATAAGGCGGGGAGGGTGGATACGTGGCAGTGTAATAGGGTATTAAGGAAACAGCTTGGTAAGAAGAAGAGAGGTTGTGGTCACAATTTTATCTAATTTTGTTAGTCCAAGTCAAAATGGCTTAGCTGTTCTTAAGCTTAGCTTATCAAATTAGACAAAGGAAATATGTCTGAGCTACTTGCAGGCCATGAAATTCGGTGCCATGACAAAATTTCCACTTATGTTTCATTGTGTGGCTGCAGTGCACGTGGTGATCATGGGACTCACAATAAAATTTTATTAAAAAGACAGAAAATTACCCTGCAAATTGAAATTACAAAAGTGAGAGTGATGGAGACCATCTTTCTAAGAAAGAACTAGTCAACATTGAACTAGAAAACTTTGTTCACAATTAAGAAAAAGAAGAAACTAAACTCTAATTTCTAACTGATCAACTGAACTACAAAAACATCTTCCAAATTTCTGACAGAAGAACTCTGGTAACTGAAGTAGTAAAAGGATAGAGATACAAGTCACTGGAACCATTTTCAATCTTTGCTTTCCTTGTGGGCAGAGTAATATTTCTTGAAAGCTGCTGGAAGATGGACAAGCAACAAGAACCCGAAAAGAATCGAGGACCAAAAGGCCAAATTAGCAACAGCAAGCATTCTCCCCAGGTAAAGTCTCCTTGCAGATGCACCATACACTTCTTCTTTAGAGAACTCATTTTTAAGCCACTCCACAAGGGTAAAAATCCTCTTGGAATTATAGAAAACGGGCACGAAAACGCGTATGGGAGTCGAAAACCTGTCACTGAAAACCACTCCATCCATGAAGACTTGACTGGCAAGAAGAAAAACATGAGGAGTAGCTGCTTTAATTCCTTGTTTGTCACCTTCCATAATGCCCTCAAAGATATATGCTATTGGGAGAACAAGGCCTATGATGACACCCAAGAGAGCATAGAGGCGCAGAAACTTGTTTTGGGGGTTAAAGGCTTGGGGATCTTTAGAAGAAGGGAGGGTGGGAAAAGCAAATTTTGAGAGGAAGTAGATGTAGATGAAGGAAAAGAGAACGAAAGCAAAGTCTCCAGGGCTTACCATGCCACTGGCTGATAGGACTATGATGACTGCCAGGGCATTGATCTGCCAAAAGGGAAGGACCCCAGCTTTCTTGAGCTTTGAAGAAGTTGGGTCTTGGCTTTGTTTGAGTACATGTTCTTGTTCTTTTGGGAGGCTAATGTCACTGTAAGTTGGACCAACCCCACCTGACATTTTGTGTCTTTGTAAGACAAGTTTTCTTGGTTATGGTCAACTGGAAAAGTAGGACTTGGGGGAGATTTTCCTTGCACAAAATGTGAGCTGAAGTTATATGCAGAAGAAGGCAAATCAATGTGGCATATGCACAAGGAAGAAGAAAGAAAGTTATGAGCTCCTTTTAAATATAAAAATGGAGTAAGAAGATTTGAAACAGAAAAAGATTCTTACTGATTTTTGTGTAATTGAGTATAAAATTAAACAGGGGAAAATGACAAGATCAAGGGAGTCTGACAGAGTTGAACAAAAAGTGACCAAGATGGACAAGTGGCAGTCTCGTGGGAATTTTAGGTGTGACTCTCTCTTTTGTTAACCTTGTCTCTCTTTTTCTGGGCCTACGTTCTTATCTTCTTCAAGCTCATTGAAATTAGACACCAGGAACATGTATTTTTAAGTCCAAATACCAAATACCGAAATACAATGCATACATTATTTCTTGATGTGACTACATACGTATACATACAGTGGTGAGTCTTCAGTTGCCGTTGAAACAAACATATATTGATATTAGAGTTCTCTGTTTTTGCAGAGTAATATTTCTTGAAAGCTCTAGGAAGATAAATAGGCAACATGAACCCAAAAAGATCCAAAGTCCAGAAAACCAAATTAGCAATGGCAAGCCATCTCCCAAGAGACAGTCTCCCAATCCACGAGCGTGAAAATCTTCTTTGCGTTAAAGAAAACCGGCACGAAAACCCGAATCGGAGTCGAGAACCTGTCGGAGAAAGCCACTCCGTCGACAAAGGCTTGACTGGCAAGAAGAAACACGTGCGGGGCAGCCGCTCTGATGCCTTCTTTATCTCCTTCCAAGAAGCCATCGAAGATATAGGCTATGGGGAGGACGAGGCCGATGACGGCGCCAAAGATTGGGCCAAGTCTGACCATTTTGCTTTTTGGGTTGAAGACTGGTGTGTCCTGAGATGGGTCTCTGGAAATAGTTGGGAAGGAGAATTTGGAGAGGATAAAGATGTAGACGATGGAGAAGAGAACAAAGGCCAAGTCTTGCAGGCTGACCATGCCGCTGGCTGAGAAGACAAGCATGACTATGAGGGCATTGAGCTGCCACAGAGAGATGAGATTAGCTTTGCGTACAGTTTCCATGGTTTGACCCTTTTCTGGGTTGAGGTATTTCAGGGAGCTTGCTGGGACGTCGTCGTTTTGTTGTTTGAATACACGTTCATGTTCCTGTTCTTGCTCTTCTTGGAGGCTAAGGTCTTCGTGAGTTGCAGAAGCCATTTTGTTGGTTATGGTTTAACTGGGAACTAGGAGAGTTGGGATTTTCTTTTTCTCTGTTTTAATGCAGAGAAACAGAGAGCTGAATTGAAGTTATATATAGAGGGGAGGAGAGTGGAGAAGAAAGACGGGTGAAGCATGTATAGCTGTTAGCAGAGTGGACACGTGCCAGCCACATAGGAATTTGAGTGGTATGCGGCGCAAGTTGACAAACCAGTTGCAGAGGAGAGAGAGGCGTGACATAACCTTAGCTCTTTTTTCGTTTTTTTTTTCTTTCCTGGACAAGCCTTTGTATGTTTGGGAAAAATAAGTTTATCTATCTTTAAGGGCAATTATAATCTCCTTTTTACACCTTTTCATTTGCATGTAGTGTGTAATAATGGTTAATTTGGAACAATTTATCTAAAAATGAAGGTACTAGAACACTGTTTTCGAAATGAAATCGAAAGAACGGTAAATGGATAAACGCTATTAACCAATTGAGCAAACGCTATTAACCAATTGAGCTATAAACCAAGTTGAACATTTAAATGATCCTTTTTAGTTGAATTTAAATATTTTCACATCGAAAAAGAACTATAATAGTAGAACTTCAGACTGCCTGCATACTCATTTAGATTTTATACATAGAGAAAATACATTCAGTAAATAGGCTTGTCCAGAAATCGACTAATTCAGTCTGTCGGCATCATTGCAGACGGTACAAAGAATATATGGCAATAAAAATAAATAGGGACGGTTCACACTAACAAAACCAAATTTATTACATAAAATTTTGACAATTCAGCAAGAAAAGAAGCAAAGAAGAAAATCTCAAAATCTCACTAAATCAATCTGCTATGACAAAAAAGAAAAAAAAAGGCGGAACTATAAAACTTATCTTCCAAAACTTTTCTTCAATTTTCTGACAGAAGACCACTGGTAAAACTGGAACCCTCTGCTAGGAATATAATGACTGGGCTAAACTGTGCACATCGTATAACCAAAAAAAAACCAAAAACCATCTCTTTCCCCTCTATCGCTAGGTAACCGTGCTCTGTTTGGGAATGTATTTTATCTTCAAACCCTTTTCAGGCTTCGTCCTGTGCTTGACTTTAGCAGCTCCAGCAGTTGGAAACTCAAGTCCCTCTACATTTACAAGCCGGTTTTCTGCATTGCCAAGAATGCTGCGTTTAAACTTCAATGAATGACTAGATTCTACTTCACCGTCATTTTGATTGTCCGGGCACCTGGGAGGCTCAGAGTCTTGTAATAGAACCAATTCTACATGGTCTGCCGCAATAGCTTCCTTCCACCCTGCACAAATCAAGATGCTTACTTATTCTATAGTATTTTAGGGTTAATTAACTTAGGCGGGTAGTGTACAAAAGATCAAGATACACAATGGAACTGAACTCACTCTGTGCAAGAAAATCTTTTGCCGCACGGCTAGAGAACCTCAAGCTTCCAGTTTCATCCAGGCGAGGAGAGCCATTCCCATTTCCATCATTACCGCCATCCATGACACACAATCTTGGACAATTTTCACTGGAAGGGTTTTGACTCTTGCCCTTTTCAGCTACCACGTCAATTTCAGATGCTCTGTTGCCATTCTGAATTGCCATAGGACCCTTTGTTCCATGCCGGCTCACAGGCCTCCAGAGCTTCACTGTTGACCGATTTGTGCCACTATGTACCAAATCAGGTTTATTGGTTTTATCGTGAGCATTGTTCTTTGGAATTTGATGCTCCAAAAGGCAATCATCATCAACTCCGGCCAGATTATCACTTTCTTGGGAACAATTTCCAAGATTGACCGATATGGAACCAATCAAAACCTCTTGGTTCTTAATTTGATCTGGTTCAGTTGCTTCCTTCTGTACTCCAGCTTTCAAACTTCCCCCATCATATTCTGGTTTAGGCTTTCGACTCCATACTTTATTGCCACTAGAAGCAGCCCTTGAATCCCTGTGGTTACCATGATTTTGTATGGATGAAAGCTTCGATGTTTGAGAGCTCTGACCTCCATGAAATCCATGAGGCACACCCCGCTGTGATTTTGACAACACCTGCCATCGGGCAACAACTGCACGCCGACAACCGCTTCCTTGCACCATTCGCCGTTCAACATTTGGACCACTCACCAAATCAGTATGTCCATGGATAAATTCAGTCTGAGATTCGGGATCCACATTTTCATCAGCAGTTGAAAGTTGGAATGCTTCAAGAGATAAGCTATCATGAGCCTGCACATCTGAACTGGTCGTGTCAGAATCAAATGTTGCTGAAGGACTAGATGTTTCTACCAGTGGCTCAGCCTCCAGTGTTTCGTCAATGTTCTCTTTAACATCGACTTTAACCCCATGTCTTTGATCCTTTGCCTTTTGTTCTTTCTGCCTAAGCTTCTTCTGCCTTTTCCTTTCCATGAGCTCTGCTTGCCTACAGAAATTCGAAAAATAAAATGAAACAAATTACACAGTTGAAGAACCCACATGCACTGAAAATCCAAAAGAAATTCTTGATGTGTACCTTCTCTGAGCAGCTTCTTCTTCCTCCACTAGCAACTTCTGTAACCTCAAAGCTTCGGCATCCTTGTCAGCATGCCAGGCTTTCACCTGATAAAAAAATCAGTACATGTTTATATAATTAAATAGAGTAAAACCAATACGTCAAATAAATGGAAAAGAAAAACAAGAAAAGTTACCAATTTTTGTTCCACCAAGAAGCTGGTACAAGCAACTAAGTTCTTTGATTCAAGGCCAACCTTCCCAGCTTCCCCATCAAAAATATATCTTTGCATTGATATGGCTGTCCCAGATAGGAACGTCTTTTCACTTGCATCATCAAGGATAGAAAATAACTCCTGGGAAGAAATGGGGAACCTGGAAGGTCTAGCTTGGACAATATCCTGATAAGGACATAAAAAAAAAAGGAGTCAGATATATCACATCCATAAAACAGGCCATATGTAAGTTCATTACAATAAAAGCTGATACACAAAAACAAAGAATAAGGCCTTACCAAAAGGGCAGAACCAGCCTTCAAATAAATGTGGGGCATTGAAGAAAATCCTGGTTTCCGAATATGTGTCGTCAATGCCTTTATGATTGAAGACCCTGGAACTTCCTAGAAAGTATATTAAATTAGGATCTCTACTTCAAAAACTACTCCTTTCAAACGATTGCACTTTAAAAACAGATTTTTTGTAATAAAGAAAAAAGCAGAAGCAAAACAAATATGAAGCCAACACAAATAATATGAACTGACTTTTGAACAAAATGAAGCCCATAAGAAATTAACTGATCATAAGTAACTGGAGGAGGTATGCAAAGACAAATCATGGTCAATTCAAAACTATGATCTATGAGGGAAGAATAATACATTTACTGTCCTACCTTGGTTCATGGTTCATGAATCTAAGCATAAGAGGCATGCGATCAAACATACAGGCAAGTAAACAGAAAATACCTCCAAAGTTACATTCTTGAATGATGCAGCTTCTTTTGCCTCTTCTGGTGATAGCTAGACAAAGTACAAATGATGGAATGAGTGAGCGCATCACTAAAAATAAGGTAGCACTCACATTAATAATTCAAAGAAGAAAATGTACCTTATCCCAAAATGCCCCTAGAAGCTCCCTATTTTTAGAAGAATCCTACACGATGTAAGAAAATATTAAGCATTATGAGCAAACTGGAAAGAAAATTATGCTGAAAGTCGCAATACACAAAACTCAATATGAACAAAGTCATAACACTTTAAAATAGTAAGGAAACCTTATCAAGCTTTTTCAAGCGATGGTGCACACGTATGTGTCTTCTGTAGTTGATGGATGAACAAAACTCGCGGGGACATTTGTCACATTTTTGCAACTGCACTTTAATGGGAGAGTGCAAGGGCCAACCTGGAAGTTCTGCCAAAATTAACATTGCTTTGTCAGCAAACACATGAAACCAAAATACCATCTTATGACATATAATATACAAATTAGTGCAGCCATTGGCCTTAGCAGGACCAAGAAAAGCAGAACAGCCTCAGGATATTTAGCCCCATTAGAGACGGCTGCATTTAAGCCGAGCCTATCACAAATCTCAATAAAAAAAGTTTCCCAATTCTATAATCTAACAAAATTTTGTGTTTAGAAGAAATAATTGCTGGTACCTTGTTGATCTAAGGCATGAAGTAGTTGAATCCACGGGACCGGACTATCCCCAGCCCTAGAGAAAGAAATAGAAGGCTCTTTTGCAACTTGTCTGATGATAGTGTCAAGGGAATCATTTCCCTCCTCTGATTTCATAGCATCCAGAGTGTTTGAGGCCTTAAGTTTAGCAATTGGCATCTATTCACACAGAAACTTCAAATCCACCAGAGCACTAGATGCCTCTGTAAATAATATAAGACAAGTAAATATAAGGAAAACATTTAACGACAAATTGACATGCAACTGAACTGGACTGAGGAATTCATATGCCACATCTTAAGCGGATGTAGCAAAAGATAGCAAGCTCGGGGCACAAAAACATCCTCCTTCATCTACATTACCCCTAATAATTCTAATAAGAGCAAACTAAAATACAGAAGAAAAAGTAAATTGACACACCAATGGGTATAACAAAACAAATTCTAAAATACAGATCCACCAGAAAGAATGCATAGCTAAAGTTCCTACACCTCAACAGTAAACGAAGCATCTACATACATAAGCAGCACGACTTCTTTATAGAAATATATTCTTACAAAAAAAAAAAAAAAAAAAAAATTGAGGCTAAACGAATCAACATACGGGGAATAAACCAAATTGAACCCACTATAGAAAAGGGAAACAAGACTTCAAATCTTTCATAATCCGCAGTCAGGAACTTAACATGCAATCAAAAATAAACGAAGCACGACTATAAGACTTAGCTAAGTTGAAAATAAACCATTCATATACAGCACAAAACTAATATATATATCGAAATTCTCTTATAATTTTTTTCTATTTTGGTTGCACAAATACAAAGTCTTTCCAGCTATCAAACAGAACGACAATACAATTAACAAAAAAATAAAAACGACTCAGAAAGCATGAATATGAGAAGGCAAAGCTTGGTAAGGTTTGGGAACACGTGATCTATGATCAATATGTGATTTTATATGTATATATGCACACATATATATGTAATACATGAAGGCACTGAGAGTAATCGGTTTACGTACCAGTGGAGGTGTGAGAAGAGATCGGTTCGATATAGAGAGAACCTCAGGCGATCTGTGGGATTCGAAGCGGGCGGGAGGGAGATTGGGAGTGTTTGGCGGGAAGGAAAATCGCCGAGAATTCGCGAGAAAGTGATGAGGCAAAGAAGGGAAACGTGAGAGTTCCGACGAGGTGGAGAGAGAGTGAGAGAGAGTTCGTAAAGAGAAAATAAATCTAAAGGCTACAGAGATGGACGGGAAGGGAACCCCTTTTCACCCCTCCTCAGTAATAAGGAAAATAAATATTTAAAAAAAAACAAAGGAAGCTCAAGATTACGACATGAGATGAGACGGTAGGATTTATTTTCACGCGCCAACGGAGAGCGTTGATGCAGTGCGTTGGGAATTGAGAGGTTGACAGCCCTAAATTGGTCCATTTGAGAGAATTCAGCTCATTAATATAAAATTTGGGGGAGGCCCGTCCACTTCAGATTGGGCTTCGAGTTATTTTTTTTATTTTTTATTTTTTATTTTTTTCAATAGGGCTTCAAATGTAGCTCTGGCAAAATAATCAAGGATTAATTTCCTTTCTTTTTTCCATATATATATATAAGTTCATCCAAACTACTATCTGATTTACGAAAAGAGGATTCGAACTTGGTCAAAGTAACCTTTCTAGTAACTGTGTTTGTGCCCAAAATTTTTTTGGTCATTGTTTCAAATTTAGTATATTTGGTCACTGTGATTTACAATGTTTGCAATTCGAACCACCTTGTATACGAAAGAAATAAAGATTCATGAAATTTTTACAACTCTAGTTGCCACTGTTGAATAGCATACTGAAGGGCATAATTGGGGACCAGATTGCAGTGTTCAAGCTTAAGATTTGTCATGGGCGAGGTATTGTGGCCGCCTTTCAACCATCCTCTTATTGCTTCTTCTTCATAGGTAAACCCATCTGCTGCTATGTGTGGATCTTTCATGACTTCCTGCAAGTAAAACAGTCATGGTCATCAGAAAAAAAACATTCAAAACGGTGCCCAAGTTGCCATTTCAAGTTCTAAGTTAGTTGAATCTACAGAAAGTGGACATCAAATGCACGTGCAGCAGTAGACGTAAATTACCTGGAAAATGGGGCAGACAAAATGGGATGGTGTCCTAATAAGTTTCTTGGAAATCAAGCATGATGCCGAGGCAGCACAGGAAGCGCCCATTGCCTCGTGGACAACCCATAGGTCAGGCCGATTCAACCGGTTCTTCTCGCAACACCTCAGTGCTAAGTAAGCCAGCTCCTTTGCTTGCTCTAGTGGCCAATCCCCAGCTGAAATGTCCAACAACGCCTCGATGTTGTCATTTTCTAAAGCGGTTTTCACATCCTCCGCTATCCCTAGGAGTGGTCTTGCAGTTAAAAGCTGTAATAGTATAATCCCAAATGAGTAAACATCTGACTCGGGTGTAAGGTTTCCAGTTTCAAGATACTCTGGATCCATATACACATCAGTTCCATTTGGGTCATTATGTATTCTGGCGAAGTTGGCTGGATTTTCATTCTGTGGGATCAAACCAACGATGCCCAGATCACCCAGTTTGCTCACAAAGTTTGCATCAAAGAGAATGTTACTGGGTTTCACATTCCCATGCACAAGACAAGGGATATTTGAGTGAAGGAAGACAAGGGCAGAGCATATCTCAGTAGCAATGCAAGTTCGGACTTTCCATGGAAGAGGTGGAGTGTTGCCTTTGCAGGCAAGGCGGTCTTCAAGGCAGCCATTTCTTAGGTACTCATACACAAGTGACCTGGATTCTGGACAGTTTCCAATCAGTGTTACCAAGTTTGGATGCCTCACTCTGCTCAAGACCTCTACCTGATGAAATTCAACCAAAACAAAGAATTCATTGGTGTTTTTCATGTTTCTTTTTTTTTAGTCGAAGTTTTAGAACCATAAGAAGGCAACATCTTTATAGCAACATGCATGTGGCGAAGAATCCCTTTGTAAACACTTCCATACCTTCCTTCTCCAATCTTCCAGGATGGGTCAAAATTGTGAGTTGCCTCGTTTATCTCCATAAAAGAGAACACAGGGAATTCTGCCCGACAAAAGCTTGCAGCTTCCCCTTTTATCGATGTCCTTAGCCATTTGACTTTTGTTATTGCATCTCTATGCTCTATCTGCAGCTTATCCCGCCTATCCTTGAAAGTTATCAGGAGCTCCACAGCTGAGAGGAGCTTCGACTCTAACTGCTCCACCATACACTGAGAGTCTCCCAGTTGGCTCTCCAGCGCTAACTTATTGTCCTGGGCCATCTGGAGTTGTCCTATGAATCCATTACGTTCATCCTTCATCCCATCTATTTCCTGCCTTACTCTAGCGAGCGCTTCTTCCATCTCTTTTCTTTGGCTCATCTCTTTTGTGCATAAACTTTCAAATGCTTTGGCCTGTAAGAAGGTGTCATAAACACAAACTTGCTGGTGAAAATTGAGATAGTATCCACGATGAGTACGTATGCATTCATGAACAAAATATTCATGCTTACACAGATGCACATTGCAGACAAATATCAGCCAAACACTTCCTAATAAACCCAAAAGGTCAAGGTTTGAGCCAAACACTTCCTAGAAATGGTCAGGCTACATAACCGAGATAAGTTTAACTCATCGGTCAATTGTGCTGCCCAAGATACAGAAAGCATAGTTTACTTGGGGTCGATTTGATAACGTTTTGGTTTTTTTTTCCTTGTTTTAATTAGAAGAGGAGAGACGAGAGATGAGGAGATAAAATACATAAACTAAATCTTAAATGAAAAGTCTAACTAAAAAAACAGGCTTAGTTTTTTACCAAGTTAATTTCCAGCCATGTATATCCTGAAAACCTAATATTTTCTTAAGACAAAAGAATTTGATCAAATTTGACGTTAATATATAAACCCAGCATCCCCTGCCAAAACAATAGCAATACAAAAAGAAAATGAGAAATTGATTAGCAAAAGATAAATTTCACCTTGCATTTAGCCTCCATGGCATTATCTTCCTCTTTCCACCGCTTCACTGTCTCTTCATATCCTTTCTGTTTTGAGTTCATATTAGTGTCCACAATGTTTGGTTCTACTAGATGATAACTTTCACAAGCTGCTTTGTCCTCCTGCAAAGATGAGCAATTAAATACTAATCAAATAATGAGCAATATAATATCCATAAAGGGCAGATTATTATCATGAATTATATTCTACAGTACAAGTATGTTCATTATCTGCTCCAATATTATGTGTCCATTAACTCAAAACCTCAGGGGATAAAAATTAAAACATTCTTCATTTTCATGACCCTTCACCCTTTTTTAGTTCAAATATAAGTTTATCAAGACGATGCATAAAGAAAATCATCTAGGGACTTGTATATGACAATGAACAATTTTTTCTGACCTCATCTATCAGCAATGGGATCAACCTCTTTGATATTTCTTCCAATTCACTGGTATCTTCCTCAGCATCTGCAGAGCTCTGTGATAAAGTTACTTGTCTAGTACTCGCTTATATTATAACAAAAAATAAAACAGATTTTTCTCATCCGAGACATAACAGTTTGGGTAGTGACCCTACCTAGATTTCTCAGCCAATGAGTTGACTCTGATTTTAAATGCTCTGGTTGCTCTGCTCCACTAGCCGAACTTGTAAGCAGCAAAGGAGGGGCAATTTCTATTTCAGATTCATCTTCTCTGTCTCCCCTGTTTTAATGTACTTCATATAAGTGCAATTGTATGTGGTGTACATATACAGATAAAGCAACAAGTTATAGAGATGACAATTTGAACTTAAATGGAAAAGCCACTTGGGCCGAAACAACAGATTGAGTTAGTCTGCCAATGCTAATACATTAGGATAAAAATCAAACACACGTTAATGCATGGGTTATTGTAAAGGGTGCCACCATTACCCTGTATATATGAGGTGCCCCTTACAAACAAACCAAATATGACAAGAACTAGCTGCCTTGTTGCATACAAAAAATGCTTTCCTGGACTTTATCTCTGCCAATCTCCTGCGATCGCAGTGAGTATGAGTCAGTCAACTTAAATTGAAGGCAGATAAGCATGTTCTCACAAGTCTTTCAACTCATCAAAGATCACAAATTTTTTTCCATTTAATTAGAGACAACAATAATGGATGATTTTCTATAACAGAAATGTACCCACATAGTATTAGGAGTAACATTAAGAATAAATTTGAAAGATCACAATTTCCTTCTCCTAATCCCTTATCCAGAATGATGCAACACAATAGCATGACGTCTACGAGATGAGTGTGATAGAGAGACATAGTTTTCCCCTTCTAATGAAAAAATGTATCCTTGAAAAGTATAATCACTGATGCATACTCAGAATAATATTCATCTGCAGCTGCCCCCATGACAAGCCATCTAATATTGTGCCGAGCAATTAATTCAACAATCCCCTCTTCAACTTTTTGCATCTCAATCCATACTTCATTTGCCTGCACCTGCATTTATAAGAAATCATTTGGGAATGTTTTATGAAATGTCTTAGTCCAGTTTCCTAAAATATTTGAATGTTCATATTCTTCCAATCACGCATGACTCGAAATTCTATTCTTCCTAACACAATTGACTTAAAATTCAGAATGATCAATGCTAAAGCTCACACTATGGTACGAAAAACAACGAAGGGGGATCATTACCCCTGCTCGGATGAGAATCAGTAGGTACTGATCTAGAAGTTTGCGAAGTTTTGTCCTCTCAAGTGCTTGGTATACCTTGATGGCTCCTTGTTTCAATTTACTGGCAGGACCATTTCCTTCTGCTGCAAAGAGTAGCAAAATCACAATAATTAAAAGCTCTGAAGACAAATAAATTACAACTAGAAATTAAAGATGGAAACTACTCCACAATTGACTCAGAATTCAACTCCCCTAGCTTTTGTTGTATTATCTCAGCAGCCAAACACAAGCTCAAGGTCTCACAGAACATAAACCAAAAGACATTGATCGAAAATCAACATTCAAAGTCAAAAACTCACAAAGTGAAAGCACGCGGGAAGGCTTGTGAACATGGAGCAGGCATATATTCTTCCCTGCGAAGTTCTTTACCGCCCAAAGCAGCGTCGTTTCGCTCTGTTTCACGTCCTTCCCCACCGCAACGAATATAGTCTCGTCCACATTCAGCACCCGCCCTTCTTCTTCACCCTCTTCAACGCTCCCCATCCGTACAATATCGCCGAATCTCATGGAATTCCGAATCCCGGGAGAGGCCAGGGAATCGGTCTGTTCTGGGGATAGTGAACTCAGTGAGTCAAACTCAGTCATTGCCGAGTCATAGAAAAGCTTAACCCTGTTCACTGTAGTTCCATAAAGACATGGTATTATTTGTGTACCAAAATTAGCCTTTAGACCTGCTCTGTTACAAAAGCAACTTTACTTATGGTTATGGGGACTGAGATTCTTATGAAAATTTGAAGATACTTTTAATTCAGATGAAAAAGAAAAAGAAAGTAATTTTAATTAGAAAGTTAGAGAGAGAGTAACAGAAAAAATGTAACTTTTTCTTATTATATGCTTTGGTATGTAATAAATTATTAGTCAATAGACTCAATACGTAAGGTTGAAGTAAGTGCAAGACAAGCGTTTCTTTTTCACTGATGTGAAATTTGGACCGAATTAGTAAATCAAAAATACCATATTTGATGTGGTTGTGGTCAATCCTTCTAGATTTTATAATAGAAAGAAAAGTTCTATCAATGAAAATTCCTGTTTGAGCAAATACACCGCACTTTGCATGACAATTACGTGTAATGTTAGCACTGAGACTTTTGATCTTTAGCGAACCAGCTGTACTTTTGATCTATGTCTTTGTCCCTACAAGGGAAGAAAAAGACTTCAAATTGACAGGGTCTTTACAATTCAAAGCCAATAATATTCAAGCACTTAACATCAAATATTTTAAAATTAAAGTAACAAAGAGTTAATTCGGTGAATTATAGCGATATTGGAAATGAGGATTCGGATACAGGATATCGGGTGCAGGGACAACTTGCACTTAATCACTTTGAGCTACAAGACTCTTGTATTATGAGACATTTTTCAAAGCCAATAATGCTCGTTAAAAGCATTTTTTGTTTATAGAACTTTTTCATGGGCTTGACGTATATCAGTATGAGCAATTGAAGCAGCCCAGACTCAGAAAAAGCCCAAAACTGGTTGGTCCTTTAGCACTGTATTTTCTCGCGCCAAAACCCAAACCCATATACATGAAATTGTTTCCTCACCGGATTCTCCTTCTCTATCTCCCTCTCCATTGCTTTGACTGGTAGCTCTGAAACTCTCTCACACACGCACGCACGCACGCACGCACTTCTTCTTGTTGATCCCCAATCATCTTCTACTCTATGGACCATGGAAAGCCCTCCAGGAACACTCCCAGAAACCCAGATAGACGGCCCAGATCCGCCCAACTCCACAGAAATCTCCGATCATGATCTTCGGACTGAGCTCGAATCCCTTCGCCAGTCGCACCAGAGCCTCCTATCAAAGGCGGCGGCCATGGAGGAAGACTTTAACCTCGTCCAGAAGCAGAGAGACGAGGCCCTGGCTCACAACGCCGACCTAGTCAAAGTCATCGGAGAAATTTCCGGCGAAAGAGACTCTCTCCGAGACGAAATTCACGGGCTTGAAGCTTCTCTGAGAGAAAGTGAAGATGGGTTTGCGTCAAAAATCGATGAGGAGTTGAAAACGAAAGAGGTGCTTGAACATGAGGTTCAAGTTTCTAGGGAGACAGTTGAAAGATTGGAGCTTGAGAGGAAAGAGAGAGATGAGTTTTTGTTGAAGTGCTTGGATGCCGTTCAGTCGACCAAGGAGGGCCTAATTGGAATAATTGATGGTGTTGGTGATGAAAAGGTTGAGAATGGGGTTGAACAAGTTGAGGGGACGAGTGAAGAATCACAACTAGACCTAGAATGGAGGGCAGTTTGGGAAGAGATTATGGTGGTTACGAGCCTAGCGACTTCAGCTGCAGTGAAGGTGAATGAGTACAAGGAATTGAGGAACAAAGAGAAGAAGGAATTGGAGAATAGTGTGGTGAGTTTGACAGAGGAGAACAGGGACATCAGTAGCTTGCTTAGGATCGCTTTGGTGGAGAAGGAAGCTATGGAGAGAAGGTTGAAAGGAAACAGCGAGCAGAAGAGGGTGGCCATTTTGCAGATTGCAGAGAGAGGTTTGCAGAGAGTTGGGTTTGGGTTTATGATGGGAAGTGGGAGCAATGAACAGTCACTGGAGAGTTCAGGGGATAAGTTGGATGCTACGGGGTCTACCACAGGAAGTAAATCAGATAGTAGTGAATGTGAAGAGGGGGTTGTCAGTCTGGTGAGTTCAACTTTTCTTTAAGCTAATTTATGGTTTTTCTTGATAAGTAATTTATATTTGTTATTGTTCTTATCAGGCATCGACTGTAGAGAAGATAATGAAGAACCTACGGCTTGAAATCACTCAACTGAGAAGATCTCTGGAAGAATCTAGGTAAACTCGTAATCAAGTTATGTGCCTGCCCACATCATTGTTTTATAATCATATTTTGAAACTGCATTTATATTTTGATTGTGAGGAGAGGCCTGCCTTTCCAGAAAATGCTGATTTGAATGTTGAAATGATGTACTTTTTAGTTCTTAATAAGAAGGAAAACATTGTTTCATTTGGGGAAACGGTAATAATAGAGTTTCCAGCGCTCTATGAATATAAATTTCTGCAAACACATCTCTGCTTATACTGCATTATTCATGTTGAATATCGGAGATTTAGTTGTCGATTACTTATTATCAATTGTATGCCAGGTCAGACACTGAGCGTCTACAGAGTCTCACAGAAAAACAAGCTCAAGAAATTGCAGAAAACGTGCAGTACATCAAAGAGTTAGAGGATAGAGAGAGGCTGTTAACTCAAAATGTAATGACCAGTTTCATAGAACTTGTTATGAATGTTTACTGTGCCTTCCTAAAGCATGCTCATCTTCTTGCTGACTCATTCCCTCGTTTTATGGCTGGCAGGTTGAGGAACTCCTGATCGAAATAAAAGAAAGTGAAGCGGAGGTTGCTAGATGGAGAGAAGCTTGTGAGTTAGAAGTTGAAGCTGGGAAAAATGAGATTGGAGAACGTGAGAAAGTGGTAAAATTCTACTCCCATTTGATGTTTATTGTCACTGATTCATTGGTGATTGAATTTAGAAAACTATATAATGTATTTATCTCATTGCTGGTTCATTAGATCGCCATCCTGAAGCAAGAATTGGAGAAGACCAAGGCTGCTTTGGACATATCAAATGGCAAACTAAAGCTGAAAGAAGAACTTGCAGCAACGGCCATGGCGGCGCAGGCAGCAGCTGAGAGGTCCCTGCAACTGGCTGACAGCAGGGCGGCAGGGCTGCGTCTGCGGATAGAGGAACTATCAAGACAAGTAGAAGAAGCAGAGAGCAGAGAGCGCAATAACAGAAGGGTGAGACGCATATGTTGGCCATGGCGACCCCTCAAAGTGAACCCTAATGCACAAAACAGAGTTGGGGCTGTAAGACGATTGCTACCAGAAATGCAAGCCTTGCTTAATTATAGTGGGTGATGAAACAGTCACTTTTGGGTTCGAATGGGATTTGTTTGAATTTCTTTCGTTGTTTATTTATTATAAATGTAAGGAAACCATTTGCTTGATTATGGGTGTAATGTGCAGTGTTCAAGTAAACCACATTTTAGCATCTCATAAACTGTAAATATATAATAAAGGTTCTGCAAACGGTAACTTGTTCCTGATTTGAAACTGGTAAGTTTATTGAAGAAGTTTACATATTTTGCATGCTTAAAAAAGATGTTTAAACAGACGTGTAATTTCTCATCAAATCACGGCTTATTCGTTTGCCATAAGAAAGAACATTTGATTTTGAATCCCAGGAAGCATGAGAATGAGATATCCAGAGCAATTATAAAACACCCAAAATGAAATCATGAAGGATTTTACACTTAGAAATCCGACCCCAAAATCATCTAGATGATGTGATGAAGTGGAAACTTAAATATGTATTGGTTCACAAAGTCTGACTCTTGCTTGTTGAGTGTCAAAATTATAAAATTACAAAAACAATTATTTGCATTTGTTTTAAGATCAACGAACTCACAGGGATTGTCAATAAAATCCCTCTTATCTATCAGATTATGATATTCTTTTTCTTTTCTATGTCATTGCGCCACACCTGATGAGTTCCAATCAAGATTTTGTTTGTCTTTCATAGGAATTTCATTACACGATAAATAAATAAAAATGTACAACATTACACGATAATTTTACATTAAGGTTTAGGCAATTTGATGTTGCCAATGCCACGACAGTATCTGCCCCTGTGACACAGAACTGATCAAACCAAAAGATAAATATAAAACAAAGGAGAAAGAAATCTCCAACATCTCTAATACTTGATTAGCTAATTGAAATGCCCTCTAACTTCCTTCTTCGTCAAGCCTTTAATCTGTGTGTAACACTTGATTAGCTAATTGAAAAGCCCTCCAACTTCCTTCTTCATCATTCCTTTAATCTGTGTGTTTCAAAACACAAATTTAAAAGTAAATTCGACATACTGATCCTTGCCTGAATTCATATGCTTTTCATATACTAAGAAAACTGTCCATAAATAGTGAATAGGATAGCAAATGTTCTCAATGATTTTCCTCAAGTGCAGTTAGGATATATAGGATAGGACTAACTAGAAAGATAAATAATATGAAAATTGACGAGAAGTACCTGCTTCGCTGAAAGTCCAATCTCTTTTAAATCATCAAGCTGAAAAAGCAAAATTGAAAAGCAATCAACTACCACGACGAAGCCCCATACAATTGAAATGAGAATTTACAAATTGCATTAGCATATTGTAAAACTACAGAAAAAAAATAATCCCATACTGTGTACTGAGAATACTTACAGTCTTGAAGGGCTTAGGAGATTCATCACGCAATTCAAGTATGTAGGTTGCTCTTTTCTCACCAATCCCCTATATGTAAAATCTCAAATCAGTTAAATATGAAAAGATGCTAGAAAACCATGATAATAATGGAAAAGTAGTGATCCTTACATTTAATCTTTTCAATTCTTCCCTATGAAGTGGAAACGGAAAAAAAAAACAGAGGAAAGGTTAGATTGTAGAGGAAAGCTTAACTGAGTTAAAGAAATACTAAAAAAACATAGAAACTTAGAAAAAAAAAACATATACTTACTTGCTAGCTGTATTTAAGAAGCTAAGATAGTCTTGGACAAGGGAATGCTGCAATGAAAGAATAACATTAGAAGCAAAGTCAATGCATAAACTGGATGAAGAGAAGGGATAGATCAGACCTTCACTTTGGAATTGCGCGTACTAAGTGTTTCCCAAGGGCTGTTGAAATTTCCAACCTCCCATCT